CAAATAATGTGAACGCATCCATTCTCTCAGCAATAGATATTTTGTACGATGTGGTTTAGCAGGCTTGAATATTTTAACGACTTAAAAAATACATTTGGAATCTTATTTTCATTATCTAATGGTAACCTGGACGAATTTCTGGTTGCACGTGCAAATGAGGTGTCATGATCTAACTAAAGATCGGACCCGAATGCAGAAGTTTAACAGGTTTATTTAGAATAATGAGATGAGCTCAGTGCTGCTCTGAACACCTTCGAACCGGAACTGGAAAGTGAGGGGGAAGACACTGCGGTTAGTTCAGGCTCAGTGGGAAATTTTATTCTTTGACTTGAAGAGGAGGAATAGGTTGCAGACTCACGTTTCTAGAAAAAAGTGTCCTTTATTGAATCCAGTCTGTGTGGGATGTTCCAGTGATTGTCTTGTTGATGGAGGGCGGACAGGGTTTACCCAGGTTACAGTTGTTCCTTGATGAACGGAGAAGCTGACTGCCACTTAGATTTCCTGCGGTACTTGAACGGGTTATTGTGGAGATGAATCCTCTGCACAAAGAGAAGCCCCAGATGATCCTTGGGGGGGAAAAGGTTGATCCAAACCACAAACTTGAATCCTCAGCTCAGTTTGGTTCTCAGAAGATCCTTCCAGGGGGGAGAAGGTCCAAAACATCCAGTTTGCAGGATGACTTCCTGCCGAGAGGCAAAGACAAAAACAGCAAGATTTAAACTCTGGATAACAAAAGCTCAGTTTGACTCAGCCAAAACTCAGCTTGGCTAGAGTACCCAAACTGGCAAAACAAAACTCAGGTTAGACTCTGGTAAACTAAGCATGGCTAGAGTACCCCAAACTGGCAAACACTCTGCATCGAGGTAGTGGCAGTCAGCAGCTTTAAGAACACTCAACAGGTAATGAGGCAACGAGCTGCAGGTGTGCAGGGAGACCCAATGAGGACGGGGCACCACCTGGTGGAGGAATAAAGGAAACACAAAAACAGACCACACAAACTGGATTCCTGATATGCGGCCATAGTACAGATCAGATAGTGACTTTGTTGAGCACTATGCTAACTTAGCATATTAAACTAAAAACAACAAGAATCATAGGTATAATAGTTAGCCAATCATCTGTTTACCTGATGCTTCTTATCCATATGATAACTTTTAATACAAACTTGAGAGTTTTGCTGCTGATCATTGGACCTGATGAAGGATGTCCACCAAGCTCCTGTTTGCTCCTCTTCTCCAGGTCTAAATTCAGCCCCATACCTTCACCAAATATAACATCACACCAGTCTGTGTTTGGTTACTCTGGTCTTTCAGCAGCTAGGATGTGGCAGGAAATACATTTCAATACTAGAACTGAAATTGAAATTGGTTGAAGTGAATTTTCAATGCATTAAATACATTCTAAACTAAAAAACATTTTTTAATCATTAAGGCAGGTTTTATTTGATTTCACATTTTGAATGCAGTTTCATGTAAATGAAATTCACTTTCAAACCAATACGATTCATTTTGTATATCCAGATTGCTGATGAAGGTTCTCAGTCATCCAGGTCATAGTCATTCCGTAAAAATTCAAAAAAATAATAGTATATCCAGATTCACTCTGAGAATTTCAATTTCAGTTCCTGATGGTTAAACTTTTGCATATGATAAAATTGGAAGTTCTATCACACCATGAATTTCCATCTTCAATCTGAAAATTGCTATAGATGTTTAGGTAAAATCAATTTTTTTAAACCTTTTAAAAGTACTCGTTTTTTTTTTCAAGATGTTATCTAAGCTTAGCCTAGTAAACTAACCCCACCCGCCAGCGGCCAAAATCATTTTTGCCGCCGAGTACACATTTAATCTCACATTTAGTCTGGTTTATCAGGCTAATCTAAGATAAATCTAGATAGCATTTAAACATGAAATGAAGCAAATAGACTGCTTAACACAAATAGTCTGACCAGTGAAAATAATAACCAATTAAGACTTATTCATTTTATTTATACATTTT